GCCAAACTTTGGCATGTAGACACAGCCGGAGAGTCTGGCGGTGAGCAGGAGCACGGCAGTGACAACCCTGTGAGCACACAAAGGAGCACCACAGAATCCAAAGCCAGGGCTCAGAGAAACTCCATGCTGGGGATTATGCAGAATCAAGCCTCGCATGATCTTGCTGGGGAACTATCATGCTAAAGGTTTTGGGGTGCTACCTGTCCCACCTGAGCTACAGTGCCACTGGCTTTAGAAGCAGGGGTGTTCCCCATCCCTTAGCTTTACCACATGCCTTGCCTGGCGGCTCCTCATAGGGAGCAGCAGCTAACTAACGCCTTGAAGATACAGGGCTTTGCAGCAGAATCCACCTGGTAGAGGCGTAGACTGTTCACACCTTCCAAAGATCCCTAGCATGGGCATGTCTCCGTTGTCTACGTAACAAAAAATGAAGAGTAAGAATTATCCTGCAGCACTCAGCAGTCCCAACTATTCTGCCAGGCACAGGGCAGACAAAAGACAGTCCCTGCCTGAACAGCGTACAGTCAGAGTGTAAGCCAAATTGTGACATCAACCAAGAGGAGAGGTCTGGAGGATGGGGCAATGGTGATACAAAACACAGTCACTAGCTTTGTTCACAGTTTGAAGGATTAAGGTAGGTGGCTTGCTTGGATCACCAGCCGTAGTCCTGGCTCAGAATTACACTCTCATAAAATCTCCATTTTTCCTTGGGTGAGTGTAGGCTTCTTAAGTGTAGCACTTATCTCTCCTCCATCCCACCCTCGAAGAATGGAGACTCATCTACTTTCAGTTCAAAAGTTCAGCTATGTCCACACTCCCCAGAGTGCCTCGCGTTTCTCCTCTGGTGCGTTAGTTGTCTGTGGTTTCTCTCTACTCAGACTTATATAGGCCGTTTTTTTTTTTCCAGGCTTCAGTTTGTCCTTTTTTCTCCTTTCTCTGGATTCCAATTATGCTCAGGGCCTGGCTCCTCTTTCCAGCTCTGCTTCAGATTTGGCACCCTGCCGTTCTCCATTGTATCTGGGGTTTATTTTCTTTCTTTGTCTACTTCTCTCCCAGCAGAGGCTTCAATTTTTCACTGTCATGCGCCTAGTAGCTGACTTATTTCTGGTCTCTTTGCTTTAGAGCTGCTGACAGGATCTTGTACTGCCTTTTGCTTTCATCAAACGCTTTCAAGTTTTTCCCTGTACATTTCCAACTAGTCTTTCTGGCTCTGGTTTTGTTTCGGCACTCGTTCCTTCTTTCTCCACTTGCCTTCGGCGGCTTTGTTTTCATCCCAGCTGCCTGTTATTAGAAGCCAATGTCCTTTCATGCTCCAGAGGTCCCTGCCCTTTTTATGCTTCAACTTTTTAAAAAGGCTCTTTCCAGGCTCTCAAATGCCAGGACAGGCACCAGGAGCTAGGGGCGTTGGAAGTCCTCCGCTTTACACTGCAAGGTGAGGTTGGTATTAGCAGGCAAGTAGTTCAGCTGAGTCTGAACTGGAACAGCTTTGCTTAAAAGTGAAAAACCTATTTATATGCGCCCAAAAAGATTTTTTATTAAAAATCAAGGCCCCAGTTCTCTCAGCCAGCCAAGGTGGGCTTGGCACTCCTGCAGGCAGAGGGCAAACATGGCCTAAAGACAATGGCGCCGGCCCCTCAATGGCCATGCCCCTCACTTTTTAACATGGGTGTAGTTTGGGGGGGGGGGAAGGGGGGCATTGCCCCTCCCAAACTGCAAGCCTTGGGCAGGCGCGGAGCATTGCTGGCAGGGGCCGTGCTGCATGGTGGAGGGGCTGATCACCGAGAAGCACAGCCCCCGCTGGCACTGCTCCGTGCCTACCCAAGGCTGCAGTTTGGGGGAGCAATGCTGGCCACTGCCCCCCCAAACCACACCCATGTTAAAAACTGTGGGGCATGGCATCCTGGCCCCCTCCAGTTCTGGTGCCCCCCCATCCACCCTGGTTCTACAAAGGTTCCGGTGCCCTTGCCTTAAGCCCTCTTTGCATCTCCTCCTGAGGCTATGATTCGGGGACAGGCACAGTGATCCTGGACAGGGATTCCCCAGCCACACCTCTTTTGGCCTGACTTTGCCCCTGCACCGCGGGTGAGAGCGGGATTGCCTATGTGTTGATATGGCAACGCTACCGCACCCGAGGACCCGCCTGCACTGGGGGAATTCTCCAATGGTTGGTTAACTTGGAGTTAGTGCTGCACGGTGACCCAGCTGGCTTCATCTGTGACCTTAAGTGATGGGCAGCTGCAGATATACCCCCAAAGCTGCTGCCAGAGGTAAGGCTTTCCATAGCCGTTTCAAAACTAGGCCTAATGGCCCCGAGTCAGCAAAGCACATGCTTAATTTTAGCGGCACTGTGCACGGACTTAAAATAAATCACTTACCCAACTGTTAGGTAGTACTGGGGCCACTGAGCCGGCACTGGTGCGCCTGACCCAGGCTAGTCACCCATTGATTTCAGGGAGTAGATGCCAGAGTGCAGGACTGGGCCCAGTGTTTAGGCTGGACTGATGCATAAAGGTTAGCAAATTACAGAGGGTCCTACAAACCCAGCTGAGGAAGGGGCCGCATTGCCCCAGGGGCGGGGGCACAAGCATGTGAATGCTTCATCCTTGCACCAGGGTGAAGTACCAGCTCTTTCCCCAGTGCAGCGTACGCCCAGGCACGGAAGACTGCTGTCGGTCGCAGGGAAGAGGGGGTGACCCCGGGGTGCGGGGGCAGTGGCAGAAGGGCACAATAGGCCCTGAGACCTGTGGCAGAGCAGCAGCTCTAGCCAGAAAGCGGGACAGGGGCCCAGCGAGCCCCTGCTGCCTGCCAGGCACTTACCCTGACCCCACCCTCTCTGCAGGGAGCGTAGAGCGGCCAGCCCAGAATGCTCCTACCCATTACACAGGGATCCAGACACCTCCAGGTCCATGAGCCCACCGCCCTGCTGAGCCGCTGCTGCCTCCAGCCACCACCGACTGGGACAGGTGCTGCCCCCCGCTGCGGCCTCCTCCATTCCCCTGCACCGCAGAAGGTGAGGCCTGCTGGCTGAGCTCAGTCACCCGGAAAATGACCCCTGCCACTGCCTCCCCCTCCCCAGCCTCCCTTGGCTATCCTAGTGCTGTCCTCTGCCCCTTGCTCGCTCCCCGGCTCTCCCTCTGGGTGCTAGCAGAGCTTAGCGTTCACCCTGCTCGTCCTCAGCCAGGCTTTGCAATCCAAAGGGCGAGAGAGATCTTGCCTCATTGGGGTTGGCTGTTGACTTTGGAAAGACGTTTGTGTCAGTTCCCACCCCCCTTTTGCCCTGGTTAAACCCTGTTGCAACCATTTGAGTTTTTCCTTTCCAAGCCCGAGGAGGAAAATCGCTCACTGTGCCTGCCCTGTTTGGTGTGTGCCGTGCAAGTCACTGAATGTGAAAGGGAAAGCAAAGGCACTGCCACTCCAGCCCTCCTCCAGTTCTGATATTTGGTTCTCCCCGATCACTTGCTGCCAAGCCCGAGGGAATGTATTCTCCTCCCTCTCATTCGCCAGGGTATGCGTATGTACTTTGTAGCATCACATGATGAACATACCGTTTGCTATGTAGGCTTGGCAGAATTAATTTTCTTAAATATAATTTTGTCAGATAATGTCTGTGTGTTGGCAACACACCATACCATGCCACTCTCACTTTTGCACTGCTGCTGGGAGCAACGCTGCCTTCAGAGCTGCTGGCCCGGCTAGCAGCTGCCCCTCTCCAGCTGCCCCGCCTGTGCTTCATTTGTGCCACGGCTTGCCGGAGCTGAGCCACAGCCCCTCTTTCATTACTAATTAATCACAGCCCCCACTTCCCCTCTCTCTGAAATGGGCTTTTTTTGAAAGGCAGTGCTGGGTTTTTTTCCCCGCATGAGATGCAGGATGATGGTGGCACATGCTCGGGGGGGGGGAGGATATGAGGGCAGGGACAGGAGCAGAGGGGCAGAAGACAGGGAGGGAGGGGACAGGAGCTGCAGAAGGGGGAAGATAGGAGCAGGATTTGGGGCATGAGCAGAAGCTGGGGACAGTGGTACAAGCAGCGAGAGGGGGATGGGGAAAGAAGGGTGTGTAGCCTACCAGACAAGAGACTCTCCCCCACCTGCCACACCTGGAATGGAACCCATTCTTCCAAAGTCTCAATGTTCCTTTGTTGTCCAGAAAATAGCTTTGAAACCCACTGGCAAGTTGCGTGGCTCCGTCTCTCTCTATGTGACAGGTCCACATAGAAGAGAACAGTCCTCTACTGCTACTCATTGTTCAGTTAGCTCACGTGGCAGAGGATAGTGCTGTAGCTTTAAAAAAGCCCATACCTGCTGGTGGCACATGTGGCAGTCAGTATCGTTCTCCATGATGATTTTAAGTTTTTAAAAAAACATAGGGGATTACAATAGTCACCATCAAGTTTATCTTAACATGTTGCATTTTTTTCCTCAGCAGAAGTCTTATGGCTTCAGTGTTGCCTTTGATCTCATCTTCAATTTGTTGCATGTAACCGATTTGGAGATTTCACACAGATCATTGATGTCAACCAGGAGTGAGTTTGTAGCTGCCTTGCCTGAATCGCTTACGAGGATGATACCATGTCCTTTAAAATGCTAATTACTATCATGAGACTTGGATGTGTGCTTGGATGTTGGAAATACTGATTTCCTGCCACCAAAATCTCATTTTAGGAATGCTGCCTTTTAGAGAGACAGTTTGTTTGGCTCAACCCCACAATGGAAAATGTAACAAGCGAATATAATGATTGCCCTGATTATCAGAACCTCATAGGGATACATGGCTACTTATGAAAAAAATAAAACCAGGACTTTTTTTCTGCTGTATACTCACACACATTTCACGAATGTAAAAAATAATTGTCACCTAAAGTACCCTAGGTGCGGGTTAACAGCTCTTCTAGAACAAGCAAACAGCATGGTGTGAACAAACAGGCACACAGTCAAAAAGATATGTAAACAAATACCAGTTCACTGCCATAAAGTTATAATGAAGAGTACAAGAGACAGTAATAATTTGGCATTGAATATTTATTCTGATAAACCTTTTTGTATTCCAAACTACTACATATTAATTCTGTTGTAAGCAAAAACTTTTGGAATGAATCTTCCAAAAGCTTCTGTCAGCATAAACTAGACAGTCAATGCATTGCCACATTCTGTGGACATAACTTTCAAGTGCAAAGCAGATTATCTGAAAAGACATATTTCCAACCTCCTTAACAGCTTGGACAATGCTAAAATCCAGTAACAGGTCTTCAAATCTCTGCAAATTTAGTTCTCATAGTGCCTTTGTAATAAATAAATAGAAAATATATCTTTTTCATTTTGAAGTCTATAGGAAAATGTACAAAACACTATACATCTAATTCCGAAAAAGGACCAGCTATTTCGGCAACAGGTAAAACAAGCATTTGAACTGATGCACCCCCACCCCAAAATTGCTCTAATGACGACAACTGTATATGTAGGCTAATGTAAAAATATTTGCAGCAATTAAACCTTATAGACAGGATATTTGCAGTTTGTGAATGGACAGTTTAAAGAATGTACAAGCTACAAGGAGTCAGTCAACTCACTACTTGCAGAGGAACACATGTACAACTTCTAGAATCCACAAATATTTAAAAAATGATATATCAGAACTATTGGTTGGTGATATTAGGCCAAATTCTACCATCAGTTCCATGCACTTAACTCCCATTGAGTCAATGGGAGCTGCTTGCATTTCAGGAGAGAATCTGGCCTATTACGCCATGCCATGTTCTCTGTCTAGGCTTAACAAGTTGCAGTGATCCTATCCTAAGTATTTACAGAGTAAGATCCATCCCCTTCCCCCAGAATAGGCTCATGTGACTAATCCTTGCATGACAGAACAAAATGGACTTTTTTTTTCCTGGATAAGATGTGATTTAAAAAACAAGCATATTTCCTAGAGCCAAGTCTTATGATTTCACCCTGAGAATTCCAAAAATTTTGAAAATTAGAAGCTACACTTCAGTACAAATGCAACTTGCCTTTTTGTATTAGTTAAACAAAGTACTCAACTCCTGCTCCATTGGGTTTGATTGTACTGAGTCTACAGGTGCTTAGCTCCTCCAATATAAAGACCTAGTCGGCTAGAATAGCAAAGGGCAAAAACAGGATGTTTTTGAAAAACCAAATCCAAACCCAGAGGTGTTTTGATCCTGGTTCCTCTCCTAAAACCTTCAGATTTTTTTTTCTGGTCTTGGCCCATTTCTAGTATTTTTCATTCATTGTATCGTACGTATGATCTGCTAATACAGAGCAATAGATGCAGTTGTACCTACAGGACAGCCTCGATTATGGGAATGTTGTGGAGGACACTGAATCCATTCAGATAGCCAGGGTTCTGACTAATCAAGGATTTTTAAATGTAATTACTAGACCTAAGGGATAGGATCCTGTTTTGGCTAACAGGGAGTTTCAGATAAATGAGATTTGTATAATCGAGGTTGAACTGTAAGTGAGACTAATCTTTTTTAAGGAATAGTTGTGATCTGGGGGGTGGAAAGGACCCAAATCATCATAAGACATTGGCAGAGAAATGTATATTGCTTGAGAGCTATGCCCTTTCACATTGCATCCAGTGGAATTGGCCCAAATGGCACGAATGGTTTAGAGAGGACATTCCTTTGCTTGAATGAGAAATCCTTCATTAATAGACTGTAAAGAAGCCAGGGAAAAGGAAAATAACCCTGGATCCTTTTAAAAAAGGCAACACTTGAAATTCCGCTAATGGAAAACAGTATATAAAAACAGTATAGAAAAAAGCAATTCCAGTTTTAAAACCCAGGAAGGGCTGGAGAGGCACATACCTACAGCAGAGCCTGAACATCACTCATAACTGACTCACACAGCAACCTGGTCTGAAAACAGTGCCAGAAAGGTCTTGTGGAATTCAACAGCTGCACAGTGACAGCATGAGCAATGACACACAGATTCATGGCTGCTTCATTCCAATCCAGAGCTGACACTTTAGATACAGTGAAAAAAAGAGACACTCGGAAAAAAAGACGACGACCGATTTAAAAAGAAACCAACAATGGTTTTCCGGGGGGTAGTGGAGGGGAGGGAAACATAGCTGCTCTGGCATAGGGACAATTTGCCTATTTCAAGAAGCCACTTTTTTTTCGGAAAGTTACCCGAATAACAGAAGCCACTTGAGACACCTGCATGACATCTTTGGGAAACACACAGCAGTTCATCATGTGCATTTCTGAACAATATACAGTGTTTTTATAAGGTTAAGATAAATTTCCCAGCTTAATGAAGTGTGCTGGCAAGCAGCTCTGGTGTATGCTCAGCTTAGCTCATCATCCATTTTTTAAAACTTAGAATGTTATGTTTTGAAGGAAAGGGGGCAGAAAATGTGCAAGATTACATTATCTGGGGAGGAGGGGTGTCTTCTGGGAAGCACAATTGAATCCTCACCCTTGATTAGGGATGGAGTAAGATGACTCCCCAGCATTCCCTGCCTAGGAGCGAGAGACCCAAGTGTGGATCCTCTCGGTAGCGTGTCATGTAGGCACAACCAGTCCATTGGGCTGGCCCTGAAGATTTATATTTGAAGGAATGTGTGGGAAAGTCTGAGTAAGTGTGTAGTCCTTGGCTGTCAGGTCTTTTCCACCAGTCTGTGGCTGCTTGCCTGGGAAAAAACACAGAATCATGACAACAGCTATTTAAAAGCATAACCATGGGAATGCCAGTTGTTGGTTATGGGATTGATCAGAAATAGTAGGTTTCATTATGACCATATTTGGTTTGCACATGTGACCTTAAGAGCACCCCAATGCCAGAAGACAAGGGGTGCCCTGGTTTCTAGTTGTGAGCCTCCACTGGCCTAACCAGTTCAGTGTACCCCAATTTACTGTATCTACAAGGTGCCATGTAAGATGATATGGGCAAACTGGTAACAAGTTGGCCATTAATATTATTGCTGGTGCATGGATGCACGATGTATGAAAACGTATAAATGTGTGCTGGAAATATGTTCTTAAAACATGCTTGGCAGGTAGGGCATAAGTCACCCCACCTTTGACAAAGGAACATAGTCCCAGCCTGCACAAATGTGTCTCCAATGTCAATTGAGCCAAGAGAGACAATGGAAGTACATTTACAAAAAAGGTAAACAAAGCCATCAAACTAGTGAGTTGAGGAAATAGCCACTTAACTATCATGACGGGAGGAGGAGACTGCAAAAATGAACATGGTCTCAGCTCCTGAACATGGACACAGCAAGCTGAGCCCTCAAGCGGGCTTCCTGACTTTGAAAACAAAGATAAAACTTTGAGGAGATAAGCAGAGAGAAAAAGTCTTTTTGGCATCCTTCATCTGAAGAGATGAAGAAATGAAGTGCTTTGAGCTCTGTGTTGGTTCGGGGCTAAGAACTGGGCAGCCATGCTGGAAGAACAACCATGGTGAGAAAACTACTTTGAACAAGAGACTCTAGTTTAAGCTAGGTTTTAGTCTTAGAAGGGTATTTTTCCTTTTGTTTGTAGCCATTTCGGTCCCAGTTCTGTCTACTTGGTATCACTTCAATATCACTTCCTTGTTAATAAACTTAATCTTGTTTTAGTACACCACCATCTCAGTGCAGCGTTTCAAACTGACGAGTAAAATCCTCCACCACACTAACAGGCTGGTGCTGCATACGGTTTTGCCAAAGGAGTAACAAACTTGATAAGGTTTGGTGAATGCTACAGAGAGAGGGGCTGAGCACTGCAGGGGAGACTGTTTTGAGTAGGCTCAGGACAGAAGAGGCTCTTGGTGTCCCTCTGCAAGGAGTAATCAAGCAGGTGGAAGCCAGGGTGAGATCACTGAGCTCTGTGCAGGCTGCTGGTGTCAGAGTTCTGAGCCACAGCTGCATAGCACAGAAGCACCCAGGGTTACAGGGCAGGTGGTGACAACCCCTTCTTGGTCTGAGTGAACCCCAAAGCATTACAATGTGTTAAATCACTCCTATGCCATTTCTTTCCCCACTATGTACCATCAGCTGAAATGTGATAACTCCCCTGTGGTTCAGCATGTACAATTTAGTCTCAGGATTCTGCAGCAGTTTGACAGAATAGTGCAGAAGGTTTCAAATAAATTCTCATTGTTTGACCATGTTTTGCAGCTTTTAGATACTGACTATAATTTATGATTTCTGATCCAAATTTTCAGCCAGTCTCTGAATTTGCATTCCTGGTTTTGTGCGAGCAGCTGATTGCACTCTCAAAAACAGCAGAGTGTGGATGCAATCAGTCCCATGGGAAAATTCCGAGCCTTGTATGGCAATTAGATTTAACATTCATACTCGAGAGGCTCACAAGAGATGTAGAGGCAGAACATGACCAGGCCATGTAAAAGGCACTGACACCCTTCCACCCACTATTTGAAAACAGTTTTGCCCCAGATATTAGCTTAGAAAATAAAGGTAAATCTGGTATCAGCAAGCAGATCAATAGGGCAGGATCAAACAAGATGTGCAGCACAAGGAATGCTGTTTGTCACATGTGGCCATCTACCCACTTGCAATAAAGCTTTCTTCATGTACAGCAACAAAGAAATGCTACATCTCTGGAGAGCTGTGGCATGGTGCCTATTGTGAGCAGTCAGTAGTCCTTTTCTATTGGGGCAGTGCTAACAGCAGGAAGGCAAAGCATGGTGTCCTCATAATTTCATTTTCTTCACCACAGGGATTGGCACAACTTGATAGATTTTAGCTGCATCCTCCTCGGTGATCAGTTTCACCCAAACTGGTCGAAAGCTGCCTTTGAATCCGACAAAAGCCATTTTATCTGAAAACCAACAGCAATAAATTGTAGTGCAGCTAACTGCAAACAAGTGGAAGTACTTTAGATTCCAAGGTCAGAGGAAACAATTGAGATCATTTAGTCTGGCCTCCTCTATAACACAGGCCATAGAACACCACCAGAATAATTCCTACAGCAGATCTTGTAGAAAAACATCCAACCTTGATTTTAAAAATGTCAGTGATGGAGAATCCACCATGACCTTTAGTAAATTGTTCCAATGGTTAATTACTCTCATTAAATGTATGCCTTATTTCCAATTTGCATTTGTCTAGTTTCAACTTCCAGCCATTGGATAGTGTTATACCTTTCTCTGCTAGACTGAGGAGCTCATTGTTAAATATTTGTTCCCCATGTAGATACTTCTAGCCTGTAACCAAGTCACCCCTTAAACTTCTCTTTGTTTTCATGCCACTCACACACATGCAAACTTCATGGAGCTAACCACTATGCACTCTACCTGTGTTAAAGAGGGTGCTCTGGCTCTAAAATTTTCTGTTGTACTTGTTGGATGTTTGTAAGGTCATACTCTGCTGTGTGTCATGTGAGCTATTATCAGTTAATTAATTAATGCAGAGAAGAACACCACAGTGTTGAAAGGTCCTGTTTTTGACATTTTCCAAATAAAATGGTTCAACATTTAGCTTTGAAACAATCCTTTGTTTCACATTTTGTATGAAATTATGTGTTATAATCTAATACACATTTTGAAAGTCAGAATCAAAATGAATGGCTCAAAATATCACTTTTCAGAATTGTCCTTTGCAGAGAATTTTGAAATTTTTAGTTTTCATTCCTATCTTAAACAAAGGCAAATTTGAAAATCTTGAAATTCTTTGCAAAACAAAACTTCTGTCCTCCACACAGCTCTGCTCACAATGACTTGTTTTAGCCAAAACAACATGGTAAATTTGGTTCTTGATAAACTGGAACCTCACAATTAGGTCGAAACCAATTGGACTCTTCCTCGGTCTGCAGATGCACTCTGATCTTTTTGAACCATCTTGTATGTAATGGTTCTGGCTGGAGACTCCACTTTCAGCTCTTACTGGTTCCTTTATCTCAAAGAAAATACTTGCTAAAGTTACAGTAGCTTCCAATGGTAAACTCTCTGGGGTTGGTGCGCACCTTGATGCAATGTAAATACGTGCAATTCCAGAGCAGATATCGATCAACAGTTTTTCAATGACAATATTATATAGTCACTTACAGACACATTGGATGCTGGGGCTAGGTGTGGTAGTTTGAATATGATTTCTCTCTGAACCAATGGTCCTCTTAAAGGAAATCATTAGTGGAATCAGAGGACTAGAGAAGTTAGAGATGGCTCTGGCACCTCTTTTCCATCTCCCATGAAGTAAGTTCTCTACTTTCTCTAAAACTATGTCATTACTTTTGGGAACAGCCTTTAGCAATGGTCATTGCTGTGACAGTGTGCAGAGACGTATTGCCTTAGAAAGGATGTACTTTCAGGAGGGAACTCAAAGCAATTCTGTGTTAATCGTAGCACTGTACGCACAGAATATTGTTAGGTAGATAGGGAAGGAGTAGGCACGCGCAAGCAAAGCAGGGGGAAGTTTGGAGGATTAAATAAGCCTTTGTTTAAAATAGTTGTTTAGTATTGCTGATACTTGGCACTCTGGTTTAACAGTTTGGATGTTTAGGAGACCCCTGGACACACTCAGATGGTCTTTAATTTGGTGTTTTCACTCCCCACCGCTTGGAAGAGTGCTATCTGGGCACTTTTTCCAAGAAGGGAACCAAAATGCACTGCCTTCTCTATAGCTGCTGTGGATGCCATCTTAGCATCCATGCAGCACCAGGATATTGTAAGAGTGTGGCTTCTCCTTATGCCATATCCCCCAATGATAGATATCACAGTGAGCCTGGGTGACAGGAATCCTGAGGTCTTTCCCAAACTGTCCTCAAGGAGGGAGGTCTGCATCTCTCTCACCAACACGAGTCCAGTTGAGAAGCACAGTGCCCACTCATTTGTGCAAGGTCAGTTTACTAGCAGGAGTTGATATATTAAAGGTTTTTAACTTGTCAGGTAAACAAATCAAAAGTTTGTATTTACGTTTTTAAAATTCCTTACCTTTTAACTTAAAACCCTTCTCAACTCCAAGTTTTTCCAGTACTTTAGTCCAAGGTCCTTTTGAAATGAATCTGCCTTTGGATGCCATCACCACTATAGAACTAAAGAAAACAAAGCCATTTATAAACAAATGAATAGTTAAACCTTTATCACTTGTCTGATTTAAACATTGGTGTCTGCCATCAGTGTGACACCAATGCGAACCAGGTCATCGATGTTCTCCAATGACTTAGCCACATATTCACTTTTCCATATATGCAAAATCAATTAGGAAGCATATTTAATTTGCTCATTTTACACTGAGTTTCTAGAGCGGTTTATATTTTCAAAATCAGCATTTCTATCACATGCCACTCAGTGAGTGGAATGTACTTCATCTGGGATGCACTAAGCAATTCTCAATTAACTCTTTGTTTTCATATCAGCAACAGACTAAATCTCAAATAAATTCACCTCTCTGGAATCTGTGCAGAGGGTCTGACAATTTTCCTTCTCTTTGACTGCACGTTTGATGCAAAGTGCATTATTAGTGTCCTTATAAATAGTATGTGTCTTCCAAAAGTCCTGGGGTGCTTTATAAACTCAGACTGAAGTACAAATGATGTATGGCTCAGGGATCAGATCATTTTACCTATCACAAATCTGCAGCGATCTCTGGGGCAAAATTCAGCAACTGTCTAAGCAACACTATAAAATAGGTTAGGGCAGAAGGTGAAGAAAAATCCCCTATCACATTGAACCTGGAAGGGGCATTCTGTAGACAGAACCATCCAAGCTGAAGTATAGGCAGGTTAATGAGATTAGCACCCCTATTCTTCTGCAAGGTGCCCAGACCTCTCCAGTGATTGCACCAAGAAATCCTGACCCGATTGAAGAAAATGGGAGTGACTTCAATGAGGCACAGATGCAGCCCCATTGTGTTACAGTAGTACAAACTGTCACTATAATTAGCCACCCAAGAATTCCTTGTTTTCCAGATATTACTACATAGAATGCAACTGCTGTGCCGCTGAATGGACTAGCTACATCTTAACATAACAATTCCATTAAAATCCATTGTAATGGGATAATGGCAATATAGCAATTCCAAGGAAAAACCAGGAACAAAAGGGTTAATAGTCACTAAGGCCTGATCTCCACCTAAAACTTGAAAAATTCACACTATTGAGAGATGTAGTTAAGCCAACCTAAGCCCTGGTGTAGACACTGCTGGAAGAATTCTTCCATCAACCTAGCTACCATCTCTCAAGTGGGTGGATTAATTACAGCAATGTAAAAACCTCTTCCATCACTGTAGAAAGTGTCTACACTACAGTGCATCATACCTGTGCCATTGTAGTATAGACAAACCTTTAGTCTGTTTTTAGCTTAAACCTCAGATGTTACGTTTAATACTTGCACTGTTAGAAAACTAATTGGGTTTACAGCATGTATTTAGTTACATTCTTGATCGGATATTAGATTTTTTTTCTTTCACTTTACTAAAAAATCATTTATTTCAGCTAAGCCTTTCCTGTCTTGGAGCTTTCAAAAAATAGCTTCGACTTGTTCCATCTATTTGCTTTGGGAAACTCATCACAAAAGTATGAACATACACAAAATATGACACTTGACCTGCAGTAAATTCCTAGAGTGAACTAATAGGCTCTGTCATTCCAGGAAAAAAAAACTATTAAAAATGTATAATTCAAACAGACTCATCACAGCAGACCCCATTTTTCTTTCCTGGATAAATGGTATGTTTAACAGCTATAGCTGAAATGTCTGGCCATTTCCAGAAAGCAGGTAGGAGAATGGAGTAAAGGGCTAAGAGAACATTTCAGAAGAGCAGGAGAATAATCCAAGGTTACTACCCTATGCAAAATTAGGATCTGTGAGGTGCTAGTTGCTCTTCACTCCTATTGACTTCCATGGAAATTGAGGGCTCAGCAGGTCCAAAGATCATGTTCATAGACCTTGCCCCCCGCCCACAGTTGTACTGCTTTAATTTAATCCTGGGGGAATTCTGCACCACTGCACATGCACAGAATTCATGTCCCCTGCAGATTTCTTTGCTTCCCTGCAGAAAAATGACTTTCTGACAGAGAAGCAAAGGGAAGCTACAAAAACAGTCACACACAACTCCCTAGCAACCCAGGTACAACATTTCAGGCACCCAGAGCAGCTGGCGGAGAGGTAAATCACTGTGGGGCTGGGGATACTCCAGCCAGTGGCTCCTACCCTGAGCCAGAATTAGCTGCTAGTCCTGGCTGGGCTGAAGGCAGGAGAGGATGGGACTTCCTCTTCCCCTGCAAGGAGTGGCTTGGGCTGTGTCAGACCCACCCCCAGAAACCTCCCCCCAGCTGCAGGAAGCTCAGCATCCTCCCCTGCTTCCTCCCCACATCACTCCTCAGCTGTGGGGGGAGGGGAGCTGCTCCCCCATCCACCCAACCTCCCATACTGAGAGACCCCTGCCAAGCCTCACCCGGTACATCTACAACCCCCCTAGCCCTCCATACCCGAACCCCACGCCACTGAACCTCAACCCCTGCATCTGGAGCCCCCCTGAACCCAGACCCCTGCCCCCACACCCAGACCACCCCCACTGAGTTCCCTGTACTCAAACCCCAACACTGATACCCCACCCCCTGCATTACCCTGAGCCCCCACATCCAGACTCCCACCCCACTGACAGCCAACTAGCTGCACCCAGACCCCCATCCCACCAAGCCCCACTCCCACAGAAGTCAGAAACTCCTGTTGAGACCCCCACACCCAGACCCCTCTGCTGAACCCCAACTACCTTCACCTGGAAGCCTCTGAAGAGTCCCATTGCCCCTGCACCCGGAACCCCACAAACGAGCCTCTGTGGGGAAAACACCACAGTGGCCCAAAACAGTAGCCTTTAATTTCAGATACTACACAAAAACGAGGAGGTTAGTTAAACAGAAATTAAAAGGTAGAGCACCAAAAGTAAAATCCCTGCAAGCTGCATAGAAACTTTTTAAAGACACCATAATAGAGGCTCAACTTAAATGTATACCCCAAATTAAAAAAAACAAAGCAAGAGAACCAAAAAAGAGCCACAGTCGCTAAACAAAGTAAGAGAAGCAGTGAGAGGCAAAAAGGCATCCTTTAAAAAGTGTAAGTTAAATCCTAGTGAGGAAAATAGAAAGGAGCATAAACTCTGGCAAATTAAGTATAAAAATATAATTAGGAAGGCCAAAAGAATTTGAAGAACAGCTATCTAAGGACTCAAAAAGTAATAGCAAAAAATTTTTAAGTACATCAGAAGCAGGAAGCCTGCTAAACAACCAGTGGGGCCACTGGATAATCAAGATGCTAAAAGAGCACTCAAGGACAATAAGGTCATTGTGGAGAAACTAAATGAATTCTTTGCATTGGTCTTCATGGTTGAGGATGTGAGGGAAATTCCCAAACCTGAGTCACTCTTTTTAGGTGACAGATCTGAGGAACTGTCCCAGATTGTTCCAAAACCTCCTCTAAGGACACCTCAGATTCATAAACTAAACAGTAGTGAGTCACCAGGACTAGATGGTATTCATCCAAGAGTTCTGATGGCACTCAAATGTGAAACTGCAGAATTACTAACTGTAGTCTGTAACCTATCATTTAAATCAGCTTCTGTACCAAATGATTGGAGGATAGCTAATGTGACACCAATTTTTAAAAAGGGCTCCAGAGGTGATCCTGGCAATTACAGGCCAATAAGCTTGACTTCAGTACTGGCAAACTGGTTGAAACTATAGTAAAGAACAAAATTGTCAGACACATAGATGAACATAACTTGTTGGGGAAGAGACAACATGGTTTTTGTAAAGGGAAATCATGCCTCACCAATCTACTAGAATTCTTTGAGGGGGTCAAAAAGTATGTAAACAAGGGGGATCCAGTGGATACAGTGTACTTAGATTTTCAGACCTACTTTGACAAGATCCCTCACCAATGGCTCTTAAGCAAAGAAGGTGTCATGGGATAAGAGGGAAGGTTCTCTCATGGATCAGTAACTTGATAAAAGGTAAGAATAAATGCCTCTGACAACAATTACATGTATTAATACTCTACAAACCAATATGAGCAGAGAAGACAATCCTTAATTTAAGAAGCATTGATATGGTTTCTATTAGTATTTCAGGCTGGCTAGACTACTGTGCTCCAGGATACAGCTGCTCAGAACATGTGTTTGGTACTCAGTCTAGTTTCATTGCTCTGGATCTCTGGCTAGCATGCTTACAGAAATCAAAACACACTGCACGTGTGTTTAGGGATGGAACACATGCACGTAGCATGCATATAGTTCTCATCAGATGCCACTGATAAAATAACAGATTACTCCGGCAATATGAAAACAGATTAGGAGCACTGTGGTGTAGGAACTGATCATGAATATTTTTTTCACAGGTTTACCGTGCATGCCTTAGAGCTACTTTGAAACTCAGCATTTGGATTCTGATGAGGTTGATACTGAACCATGTCATGGAACAGGACAATTAAGATTTTGTAACTCTAAGCCATATCACGTGACCTGGGCTAAGAAAAGGGCTCAGTGTTTCAGCAACACTCCTGTGTGCTAAAGTTTTATTACACACTGGATTACTCACTCACTTGTTTTTGATGTTGGTGACATAATTGTCTATCTGCGTTGGGATTCCCTGTAGAATAGGGTTTTTGAAACTTATTTGGTCAACAATTTTTCCATGCTTCCCATCAATCACAACTACTTGGATACCATCATCAGTGAGGAAAAACTTCTTACTATCAACCTGCAGAAAAGAAAAAACTCTTGATGTGCCAAAGAAATCCAAGTTCATAACAGTTAACTGTACAAAGCTTCATGATTGTGGCATGGCAGCATTGAACTGCCCTTTGCTTCAAGGAATAGGATTCCCCATCTCCTACCTTGGATCAACTTGAATCTTTGCCTATTATGTTGTAGTACTACTCATTTCCATAAGAGACATAGCCTGAATGAACCTAATTCCTAATAACCATCAGTGGTAGTTCTCTCAGTAAATTCTGGGTGAAACCCCAGAATCTTAACCTATGTATTTTTAAAAGTCCAACAAATGTGGTTGAGAAGGAACCGCTTACCTCAATGTATGCAAAGTCATCCCTGAGGTGGAAGTATCTGGTCTTGAAGGTTTCTACTTTCAGCTCTAGGAAATGGTCCTTATTCTTCTGCTCAAAAATAGAAAACTGTGTTTACCACTTTTGTACGTTCCCCAAATGCTATTTATTTTAAACCAAGAGCTTCCTAGCAGTTTAATCAACAATAAAAAAGTACCTAATATGTTGACACTTGCCAAATTACATTGTTTAAGAAAGCTGGGAAAAATCTTAACCTCTGAGCTGATCCTGTCAACATTTAAATGTTGCTAGTTTCACAACAAGGACATTTTTGTTTTGTGCAGTGATCTGTAGTTCATTGAGGCTTTGATCCTACATGCCTGATCCAAGTGAGAAAGGTCAAAAAGGGCTGGGTTGGGTGCAGAACATGAATCTGTCTTTCAGCACAATCCTTGATGTGCAAATGTCCACGTCGCTATTTTCATCCCCGCAGCCTGAGCTCTGTGAGCCTGAGTCAATTGACCTGGGCTCTGAGACTTAGTGCCATGGGTTTTCCTTTGCAGAATAGGCATACCCTTAGCTATGCATTCCCCCCTCTGGCATGGCTTCTGCTATTAGGCAGGCATGGCTGGCAGCCATGCAGCAGAACTCTCATCAGAGCAGGATCAAGTTCTCCTGAGCAACCTGTTGCCCTGCTCATCGCTTTGTGTGCTATGTTTCTGTGCACAGCACTCCATGCTTGACCATTAGGAGATCAAATTCTTACTGTGAAATGCAGTCTTCAGTACCCCAGAGCTATCCCCATTGCCCCATGAGTATCCAGCACCTATCCCTAGGAGGAAGGCATATCGTATCGAAAAGTAACGGTTAGGGAACACCTGCTGCAGCTTTATGTTTCTCTTCCTTTTATGAATCTCGGTTTTCTGTACTAGCTGGTGGCTGGTTTAGGTTGCTTTACACTTCTGGACCATTCAGGAAGTTATGCCCAGGGTAGAGTAGTTCTTATAGAGAGGGTCTCCACAGCTACGTGGAAGGATGCATGATAAAGCTTGTAAATTTACAAGCAAACAGAACAGCGGTAACGGAAATGTAGTAGCAACCAAGGTACTTTACCAGTAGTGAGTTAGAGAGCTTCTTAGGCATTGGCACATCTACCACTGGAGTTTCTGTGTATTTTGGATAGGCCACGGCTTCACAGTCACTGATTCCGGCCTTCTTTGGGATCACAGCTTTGATCCTTATTCTCTCGCAGCCTTGGACTGAGCAGAAGGCAAATTTCTCCTTCTCATTCTGGGCTTTGAGTTTCAGAAACAGCAGCCTGCAGACCGGGGGTGACAATGCACCAGTCATGGGGTGTTACACACCAAAACGAATAGGTCCAGGTTATAATAGAGTACATCTCGGTGCTTCGTGATAACAAATATGTAAGACAGCCATCCTAGACTGATGCTAATAGAATATTTATACCACATCACACCTTGTGTACTTATATAGCTCTAGAGGTCCGTAATTTTTACATAAATCAGTGTGTGAATATATATTTTTATTCAGAGGGGGAGGATATTCCCTGTGAATCAGGGGTGGAGGGATAGGAGGGGAGAGCAAAAGGGAGTTACTGTAATGAGAATGGAAGTAGGGGGGCAGGGGAAGGTGGGCAGCCCATCCAGGCTGGGAAGGGCCTTCGCGGTAGCTCTGACGGCCATTCCTACAGCAGTTCCTCCATGTCTGGTGCCCTGCACTCCCCCACCAGGTGCTTGGTGCCATCTGCGCTGTTGCCCCCTGTGCCATCCTCCACCCCACCTTGGCAATTAGTGCATGTTCTCCTGCCCCTCCATCAGGCCAGGTGTCTCCACTGGGACTCATGGTGACTGGAAGGTGGCACCAGACTGGGCCAAGGAGTTCTTCCTGCTCCCCAGTGGTCAGTCCAATCTCATGCCCCACAGCCACTCCAGTCCCTCCTCCATGAGATATTGTGGGGATGGAAACGTAGATCCACATAGATATCCCGAACATATCCATTGAGGGAGCGCTAGCCTCCCTGTATTTATTATAAATATACATAACTTTCTCTCTATATATATATAAAAAGCAGCCTCAATTTCCTATAAGAAAGAGTCCTATCTCCCAAGGGGTAAATTCGCCCTGTTCAAATCCATTAGGCAGCTATGCATCAAATATTTTTGATGCTCATAAATGATTGTGGTTTAAGATTCCTAGATCAAATTTTTGAAATGAGAAGGGTTTTATGCTTTTTGTTTAGTGTAACTTCAGTGCTATGAACTGGGTCCTCTTTCTGCTTCTCCTTTTACCCTGCTGTGCATTCATTTGGCACTGGGAGCCATCGGAGGCAAGTGGCTGTGGCTGGGAGCACACGAATGAGTGGCAGCCACCATGAGTCAGAAGGAAACGAAAAGTTGATCAGGTCTCAAGGAATCTGTTTGTTGGTCTGGGCCAAACCACTTTCTGGTTCATATGGCTCTCTCATATCTGTCTAGTTGACCAAGAGCTATTTCCTTACCCAGTGTCCTCATCCCAGTAATAGTATCCCTTGTTAGGATATCGGTACTCCAATTTGTCCATCTGCAAGGTCCTATAGAAGGTCCCAGTTTTGTATGTTTTCTTCAAGAGACGATTGTGGATGTCTGAGAGAATGGAAAATGTTGTCCCTTTAGGATAACACAACCCTAGCTGGATCCAGTCATTCCTAAAATAGCAAAGAGCCACATTATAACAAATAATAGACACATGACTATGACTTTCCTGGGCACGTCATCAGCCAAGTTAAATAGTTCACTCTGAAATGTAACAATTTTTTCCTGGCTGGTCAACATAATTTAGCCTTTAAGAGAACATCTATGTGCTACTTAAGCAATATGGGCTACACTCATCCCTGATCTAACACCATTGGCATCTATTCACCAGGGATTAATTTGATCCTAGGCATCTAAAAAAAAAAATGTATCCGGGGGGACATAAGTAATCATGACAAATTAAAAGATGGGGCAGTTCAGAGTGGTCCTCATGGAATAATGATGTCAACCCGGAAAGAATGCCTCATGATTATTTCAGGAACATCACTCTTTAACCATTTACAGCTAACTTACTGGATTGGGACGCTACTTTCATGGGGTAGGGTTTGGAGGGATCACTCACTTGTTGAAGTTGATGAGCCATATAGCCAGTTCCTCAGGTGCGGTCTTGTCCCAATGGATGGTATAACCTTTCTGCAGCGTTATAACTGGTTGATACTGCTGGTAAGGAGAACTTTTGCTTAAAGCCCCCTCCAAGTAGAGTGGATGACTGTGGTAGTCATTTTTGATTATTTTCATTCTCAGGGTGGCTGACTTGTAGGCCTGGATGTATATCTAGATTAGGGAAACAGTCACAGTCGGTTTAATAAGATAGATGGCTACAAATTGGCTTTAAGTATGTTACTCTGAGAACAGTTGCAGTACTTAAAACAAAGCTAAAAAAAGTCACTGCACATAGAGAGTGAAGGACTGGTTCTAGGCAGTGGTACCAGGTGCTTTTGTGGGAGAAAGAATAGTTTTGTGGTTAAGTCACAGGAATGGAAGTTAGGAGATCCAGATTCTATCTGGCCTCTACAAGAGACTTCCTATGAGACTGTGGGTAAGTCACCTAACTCAGCTGTGACACAATTTCCTCCATAAAAATGGGGAAAATAACACTTCCCTACCTTAGAGTCAGTCTGTGAAACTTAATTTATGAATGCTTCTGACATGCTTGGAGATCTTTGGATGGAAGTTGCTACAGAAGTGCAGTGTTCTTTTCATTGTTTCATATTCATGGCCTAAATTTTTTAAGTGCCTCTGAAAATGTGCCATAATATTGACAGGCAAACTCATCTCTGCGTGTAAAACCATTCAGGCAGATGCACTGCCAAATGCTATGACACCCTGAGTGTCCTATAAAAGTGCATATTTCCGAGTTCAAGATGACGTTAAGCCCTACCTTACTGGGAAATTTAAAATAGCTATAAACCGATCACCTTCTATTCCTGTACTCCCAATGCAATGCCAGTGAAGTAATGTAAATTCTTTGTACCTGTGCATAGTGCCCACTGCAGATGGCACCTCTCCAGTCTGGCACATCAATACAGTCTGGGTGTTTGATCAACCAGTTATCTTCCTTTATAAGGTATGAGCCGGGATATTCTGACACAGAGCCATCTACATCATGAAAAACTGATGTTTTATCACCATCCATATTCAGGTCATTGAACCAGGGTCCAGGTTCACCAAAGAACACTCTTGAGGTAATCTAAACAGAACAGTGACATATATTTACATACCAGAGGAGCAATTCACTGCTTAGCATTTTAAGTGAAGGACAATTCTGTGGTTGTTGGAATGGCTTGAATTGTTTGATTTTAACAAGCACTGTAAAATAGTTTGGACAAGAAGCTGCATTTGGATTTGCTAGTCACTGTAGGGATGGGGAAACTTAATTGTACATTAGGGCCAATGTTTTTAAAAAATGGCCATTGATTTTGGGTGCCTCAGTTTTTGTGTCCTCAACTTGAGACATCTTAGATCTGGTTTTCAGAAGCTCTGAGCACCCACAACTCCAGCCAAAGTCAATGGAGCTTCTAGGTGCTCAGCACCTGTGGAAGGAAATCAGGCTCTGAATAAGTCAGGCTGGATGCCCCCCAAAAAGGAGCACCCAAAATCCGTGGCCACTTTTGGCAGTGTTGGTCTTGTCAGCTAGCAGGAATGTCAGTGACATTTGCTAGAATATTTGAGTTGCCCCTTCCTTGTCTACATACTGCATGCATGGTCAGTGCTTGAGGCTAAAGCAGAGCTAAATCATGCACAGCAAAAGTCTGCTTCGTCATAAGTCCTTTCCTGTTGACCATGAACGGAAAAGGTAGAGGACAAAACCACCAGCATGCTACTCCTGGCCTCCATCCTGGGGTGTGGGGTTCACATTTTGGAGGGAGGTTCAGGGAAGTTTTTATTTTATCTGACCCAGTTCATGTGTTCCTACTACTTCTTCATTTTTTTTAAATTTGTATGTTACATAAAGTTGCACTTACACTGGGAACAATCAGCGGACTCCCAGGGGACGTGGCTGCTTAAGTGACTTCTGACCAGTGGTTCTTATCCAAGTTAAATAAATTGAATGTCAAAAACCAGCCTGATGCAATGTGGCTGAGGCTGGGTTGGACACTTAGGGGGATTTTTTTTCTCCCTACCAGACAGTTGGCCAAGGATTTTTAATCAACTTCTCTCATGAAATTTTAGCATATCTGGTATTTAGTAAACATGAGGCAATCAAAATCATTCGTTCAATACACAGATGTCGGTAAATAGAGTTGCAAGGCTTGTTAAGTGGATTACACAGCTGCTAGGTACATTTCATCAGAAAGAGGGACGCTCTCAGGAGCGGCAGGCATATATTTGTAAAAGCAGATGCAAAAATACCTGTCACTCTCTCTCTCACCAGGGTTAGTTCTAACTAATTACTTGGTTAGGTTCAAACAAGCACTCAAAAGTTCACATGCTTATTCAAAGCAGATCGGAAGCTTTTTAGCTCAATTCTGCTCTGATTTACATTTGGGGAACTGATGTCAATGGAATTACCAGATGTAAATAAGAACAGAATTCAACCTTGATTCTGCTCACAGGCATGTTTCTTGGTATTTCTTCCTTCTGATTGGGCTGGAACTTTTATAAGAACAGCCTTTCTATTCACACAGGGCTGGCACTTCAACATCTTACCCCAGCTGGAACCAAAGGAGCCTTACTTTCTTTTCACCTATACTGGTTTTATTCTATTAATTTCAGTAGGATTACTCCTTGTACATGGGAATGGAATCAGGCCTATGGTAGTGCAGAGGCTCACAGAAATAGAAATGCTATTTATTTATATGTGAAACAAACTTTTGGGGAAATAGGTCTGGTTCTGGTTTGCTCTGAGTTTGTGAGAAAGTTGGGCTTGTTTATTTTTTTTATCCAAACCAGTTTTCTTATCCCTAATTTATACCTAATTTGCTAAAAAGGTGGCAATCACTGGGACTAGGTTGTTAGGTTTCCAATTCTGATGTTGGTTTTTCCCAGTGGCCATTTCCCTGAATCACATTTTTCACCATCACACTCAAGTCCAAAACCAAATGACCAGGAGCCCATTTTAAGGAATAACTCACGGGAACGTCTTCAAATAGAACGTCTGTGACATTGTTATTGGGGCAGCTCTGCCAGGCGTTGTTGAGCCGGAATGCCAGGGCACTTGTGTGGCGACCATCCAGTGCAGCAAACTTGCGAAATGTACAGTTTTGGACATTGACTGGCCCATCATAGAACTGAATCCCTCGAATTGGAAAATTCCTAAAACATAGTTGAAAAATAGAGAGAGAGAGAGATCTGGTCAGATATGCCTACGGTAACTCATCAGTCTGTATCTTCAATAATGGATAGCTACATGATGCTTGCTGTGTAGTGGACATTATTGTGCCCAGCCAGCAGGATAACTCTGAGTTAGTGCTGCTTTTGTTTTAGCCTGTGTAATCCTTCAGTTCTTCGGTCAAGGTCTCTCGTGTCTAAGCGGATCATCTTTATCTGTACTCCTAAAGGCAAGGAACATTGGATAATGCCAAGGCATTGACCTAAAAAGAAAAAATTCATGCTGCAGTCACAAACAAGTTCTGCAGCAGCCATAAAACCTGTAACCGATCAGATCTGGACTCCTCATTCTGAATCACTGCAGGGCTGAAATCCCAAGGCAGCTTTCATAGGAGCATGGAGATAAGCCGTCTGGCATAAATAAAATAAAAACTGGCTTTTAAAGAAGCAAAATACTGTTGCACTGTCTAGGATACAGTTTTAAGGTAGCTGGCACACTCGAGAGCACATTAACCCAGAGATCGTTTAGATACCAGTGGAAAGGTAGAGAAGACACATGCTTTTTCACATTCTGATTTGAGGGACTGTGATGTTTTAACCCTTTAACAGGCTTGGATAAAACATGTCAAAGATTGCTCATAATAAACAAGACCACAATCCCTTACTCACATGAGTGGTCCTTCCTCACACAAGAATTTCCCATTCAAGTGAGTGCTCCTTGCCTTTGGGAGCTCTTACACACGACTTCCACTGAAGACAAAGGACTGTAGAACGGGGTACTAAAAACATCATTTCACTGTTGGTGTAGAGGATAGGCCTACTGTGCCTCCATTGACAAGCAGAATTGGGGAATGCCATGCAGAAAGATATGGCATTCAAGCTCTTTGTGCACTGGAGGCTTCTCTTGGGTTGGTTACGTTTTTAAAAACAACAAGAATTTGCATTTGCAAAACCAACTCAGAGCACTAAGACCACGGACAAAGTCACCCGCAAAATTCACAGGCAGCTTGTAAAACATTTAACAAGGGCACAAAGATCATGCGAACCCAGCAGCAACTCTGGGCAGGGGTCCTGAAAGATTTCCTTGGTGACTGGCAGCTGATACGGGTGGAGATTGCTGCATTGCCCGATCCTTGCTGACTACATGTACACAGCTGAAAAGCCTGCCAAGTTAGCAAACTCTTCCTCTACTTTAGCCATCCCCCCAGCCCAGTTCACGAAGCGGGTATTGATGCTGTCCTGGCAGCCTGCAAGCACATGCCTGCCAGCAGCAGCTGCACAATGAGGACCTTGGGAACAAGAGACATGAAACAAAATCCTCTGTGTATAATTTCTTCAGTTTAAATTACACCAAATAGTGCTGAAAAAATATGTAAAATGAAACAAACAGAAGGGATGGGAACTGTTCACTTGTGCAGGGCAAAACTTACTGGCCTATGGGGAGAGTCCTTCCACTGTGATCCAGGCCTCCGGGCCCCCAAATGTGGTTGTCCATGGTCTCTGTCCCCACGTTTTTACTCTCACCGACAAACAGGCTGTTCTTTATTTCTTGCTTTGAACCATCGTCATGTGGGAAAGTTCCACCGCTAGGAGAGGCAAGACTGTATGTTAAAGGGGTTGCTTATGGCAAACTCTGTCTTGGAATCATAGGCAAAAGTAGGAGGATGGCAAACTAGGAATGAATAATGCTTACCTTGCCAAGGTCAGGCCAATGCCATTGTCAGCAAACCTGCAACGAGAGAAAAGAGTGGGGAGATGCTTCACAAGCAACAATACAGAGCCTTTGCTTTCCCAAAGGTAGGCAATGCCAAACTGAGATATTAAAATCCTTACTGGTTTGGATACGGAAAAGGAGGGCTGGGGTTAATTAACAAAATTAAGCTCCCTTATGTTAAGTGGAGGGTGGGGCCAACTAAAAGCTTTAGCAATTTCGTTCATATTGCAGTTTGCGAAAAAAAGTTTTCTAGCATGGCTCATAAGGTGTATAGCTCAAATGTAGTGGTAGTTTGATAGATCCTTAACTGGGATTATATCCTGCCATTGTAGGGGGAAGGATTTACTTATTGGATAGTGATCAGTCTTTCCCCCCACCCCCATCTCTGTCTACCATGATCCTTTCAAAGTTATTTAAGGAGGTCCTGTTTGTCTCTCACAAACTATTTTCTGTTATTTAATAATCCTCTGCCTTACACACATTTCCCCCTCATGTAGCTCTGTGTTTATTACTCAAGTCATATAGCCTTTCTATGCAGTAGCTTAAAAAGGGGGTAGAAGGCTCTGACTTCTGTTTCATCAGTTATCAGATCCAGATTAGAAAGAGACCTGAATCAAAACTTTGGATCAAAATGCTACTGAGCTTCGGTGAGATTCAAACTCCAAATCTGGACCTGGATCTTAATTTTACAAATGGTTCCTAGTTTTATAACGGGTCAAACCAGAATGCCAGTTCCAAACACTCCCAAACTTTGAGGATGATGGAATCCAGACGCAGAGATTAATGTTATAGTCTGAGCCCGTCTCTACTGTATACTGACACAAACACCACAGTTACAACTTGGTGCTAGGATTTAAACTGTCACGCACAAGACAAAAATCAATGTAAAGCTAGGAACAGAACAAAAGCAATCTCCTTGACTGAGTCAGTAGGTGGTAGTATATTACATGCTATCTACTTTTCATTTATGATTCTTACAGCCCCATGAAACGTGCATTGTAGTTTATGTACTGCATGCCACATTAACGTTTGTTTTGTTAATGTAATGCATAGGTCTTACTGTAGCAACAGAAATGAAAATTAACTCTGTGATTATGGCAATGAAAACAAGTTACAGTTTGAAGATTGCAGCCTCAGATGCACTCAAAAGGACACTGCCAAAACCTGATAAGATGGAGAAATTTGTGCAGTATGTAGAAACTATGGTATCTCAGTAATGAATGCGAATGTCGAAATAACATGCAACTAATCTGAAAAGACAGGAATGTTAAACATTTCTGGCTAACACAGTCCATAAAGACAAATAAGAAGGCTTGATATTATATTTCTGTCCATTCTGACCTACTTTCATTCTTGCGAATCTCACTGAGTCACTAAGGCCAGTTTATAGCCAGTGATCACTTTAAAAGGCTTGGATTATTCTAAGGTAAGGCAGTTTTTGCAGGCAAATGGATACCACATACGGGCAGACAATTGTACTAGTGTAGTGCACTGTACCCTGTAAACTAGCTTTTTACTTTTTTGCCTTGGTTAATTGAGGTTGCTATCAAGATACTGGATCAGAAGAGTATCCCAAGTTCCCAAGTGCAAAGAGAGAGTCTGTTCTGAGCAGCACAGGAAACTACTTTCAAAGAGAATACAATGTGCATTTTCCCAATTCCTCTCCCTTCCTCCTGTGATGCATAGTTTTGTGTCTGCTTCCTTGGTACTGGCTTATTCAGCACAACACTGAACCACATAAAACTGAACCATGACCTAAGCTTAGCCATGGAGGCTGGTTAAACTTATGGGGTTTTTTGTTTATTTTAAGCTCTTCATTTTTCACATAGAATGGTTTATTTGAGTCCATTTTTGCTGCCGCTTTGAAAATCTGGACAAAGTCACACTCAAAAACAATTCAACAGACTCTTTGCTTTGGACAAAACAGGGTTTGTTTGTGTAAAATAATGCCTGTGTTTTCTTAATGTTTCATTTTTATTTTAATCATGACCATATGCAAGGTGCAAAGCGATATAAATAGTCTAACCACAACTATGCTTGCCATAAACTAGGAGTTGAACTTCTAGGGTTGAAATAAGGCAAAACTCACTGGCAGCCATCCAGCCATACATCTCCACCCCTCAGCCAGGCCCCATGATCCTGGTTCTTGTACGCAATAAAGTGCTCAATTATCGCAGGTTCCCTAGGCTTTAAAGGGTCAGCGTCTTTGTGCGGACTGTATCTGTAAACACAAGAAGAGCAGAAACTTGTCAGTGGAAGGCAGTCTACCCCAGGGAGATTCGACTGCTGTACTGACTTGTTAAACATTTGGTGGGATTATTTCAGCTAAACACAGGAATTGCCAGGCTGGATCAGACCAATGGACCATCCAGTCCTGTAGCCTCTCTCTGACAGTGGCCAGTACCAGCTACCAGGAATGTGCAAGAAAAGCTCGAATAGTCAGTCGTGAAATAACCTTGTCCCAGGAAAAGTTTTCTTCCTTGAGTTAAATGTTCGTTTATGTCCTGAAGCATGACATTGTATCCTTTCTAAAACTCTTGGGGTTATTTAAAATCCTCCCTACTATAACTCTGAATATTCTTATTATCCATACAAATGTCCAATTCTTTTCTTTTAATCTTGCTCAACTCTTGGCCATATGTATATATTGTGGCAGCGAGTTCCGCAGGCTAACTGCACATTGTGTGGAAGCATTTTGAGGAGACCATGATGACATCTTTGCTGCCCCTACCATATGTCACCCAGGCCACTAATAATGAGATTTATTAGCTCACAAGCTCTCACATATGATGAAATGATGGCCTGGTGAGCACGGAGGAAAAAGGCAGAGATAAATGGAAACGGCAGTAAAGCATTTCCACAGTTGCTGTCTGTCAGCCTGCACTTGGGTGACAGCATCTGTGCAAGCCTGGATAGAAAGATGTTAAGTTGGGTGACAAGGTGGGTCAGGTAATATCTTTTACTGTACCAACTTCTGTGTAGCTGGAAAGCTCATCTCTCTCACCAACACAAGTTGGTCCAATAAGAGATATTACCTCCTCCACCTTGTCTTTCTAATATCTTGGGACTGACATGGCAACGACGACACTGCATGTTGGGGTGTCATTTATTCCTGCTCTTCGGGGGCAACTCTCCTTATCATTACTAAGTGTCTTCTGTCAAATACAATGCAGTTCAGAAAAACCTGGCAGATTAGCATCCCCGTCGGTGCCAGCAATGGGCAGCACCGAGATTAAAATTCATGGGTCAGAAATGGGGAGCGAGGCCAGACTGTCAAATCATTAACAGATATTCAACAGCATTTTGTTTCACTTAATAAGCCATCACATCAACCTAAATTGAGCATAATGATCATAAGGTTCCAGCAAATGAACATCACTTCGCCAGCTTCATCATTATGAAGTCACTTGGTATACCTGATGAAAGCACAGATCCTGGTGAATTCATGAGACGCTAACAAACATTCACTTTGGGATGGATTTGGTCTCATTTACACCAGTGTATGTCATAAAAACATAAGAACGGCCATACTGGGTCAGACCAAAGGTCCATCCAGCCCCGTATCCTGTCTACCAACAGTGGCCAATGCCAGGTGCCCCAGAGGGAGTGAACCTAACAGGTAATGATCTCTCTCCTGCCATCCATCTCCACCCTCTGACAAACAGAGGCTAAGGATACCATTCCTTACCCATCCCAGCTAATAGCCATTAATGGACTTAATCTCCATGAATTTATCCAGTTCTCTTTTAAACCCTGTTATAGTCCTAGCCTTCACAACCTCCTCAGGCAAGCAGTTCCACAGGTTGACTGTGCGCTGAGTGAAGAAGAACTTCCTTTTATTTGTTTTAAACCTGCTGCCCATTAATTTCATTTGGTGGCCCCTAGTTCTTATATTATGGGAACAAGTAAATAACTTTTCCTTATTCACTTTCTCCGCACCACTCATGATTTTATATACCTCTATCATATCCCTCCTTACTCTCCTCTTTTCCAAGCTGAAAAGGCCTAGCCTCTTTAATCTCTCCTCATATCGGACCCATTCCAAACCCCTAATCATTTTAGTTGCCCTTTTCTGAACCTTTTCTAATGCCAGTATATCTTTTTTGAGATGAGGGGACCACATCTGTACGCAGTATTCAAGATGTGGGCGTACCATGGATTTATATAAGGGCAATAAGATATTCTCCATCTTATTCTCTATCCCTTTCTTAATGATTCCTAACATCCCGTTTGCTTTTTTGACTGCTGCTGCACACTGCTTGGACGTCTTCAGAGAACTATCCACGATGACTCCAAGATCTTTCTCCCGATTAGTTGTAGCTAAATTAGCCCCCCATCATATTGTATGTATAGTTGGGGTTATTTTTTCCAAATGTGCATTACTTTACATTTATCCACATTAAATTTCATTTGCCATTTTGCTGCCCAATCACTTAGTTTTGTGAGATCTTTTTGAAACTCTTCACTGTCTGCTTTGGTCTTAACTATCTTGAGCAGTTCAATATCATCTGAAAACTTTGCCACCTCACTGTTTACCCCTTTCTCCAGATCATTTATGAACAAGTTGAATAGGATTGGTCCTAGGACTGACCCCTGGGGAGCACCACTAGTTACCCCTCTCCATTCTGAAAATTTACCATTTCTTCCTACCCTTTGGAATAACTTTCTTGGAAGTGGGAGTTAGCATGGATTTATACTTCTGTAACCGAAAGCAGAATATGAAGTTAATGGAGTTATTCTCAATTTACAACAGTTCTACGCAGCACAGAATCTGTCCCAGGACGTCTGATGGTCATTCAGCAACACTCTTTAATTGCTCAGCTTTTAGGGCTCATTCCAGCCTCCAAATTGGAAGGCACAAACTTTTTGGAATCAGCTCCTGTGCATATATGCCACAGCCAGTTTTCCAAGGCACATATTCTGGTATATGAAGAGGCAATATCAAACTCTCTGCTGTAGATGCTTACTGCAGCAATGGAGGGGGTTCTTCTGTCGTTATAGTAAATCCACCTCTCAGAGGCAGTAGTTAGGTCAACCAAGAATTATTCTGTAGACCTAGCACGGTCTACACTGGGGTTTAGGTCAGCTTTTCTCTTTCTCTCTCTCTCTCCCCCCTCCTCAATTTTTTCACATCCCTGAGCGACGTAACTCGGGTACCTTAACTTTCTAGTGTAGAACAGTTCTCAGTAGAATTCTGAGGTATTGTCAGGGGTTTTAAAACAATCATCCTAATGGGTTGAGCTTACACTCCTCACCAATGGTCTTGTAAAATCAACTACTCTGGTTGTACCTGGCTGTGTGGGAAGTAGGAGGAGTGGTAGATACGGTGGCAGGTAGGGATAGGATACAGAGGGACCTAGACAAATTGGAGGATTGGGCCAAAAGAAATCTCATGAGGTTCAACAAGGATAAGTGCAGGGTCCTGCACTTAGGACGGAAGAATCCAATGCACCGCTACAGACTAAGGACCAAATGGCTAGGCAGCAGTTCTGTGGAAAAGGACCTAGGGGTGACAGTGGACGAGAAGCTGGATATGAGTCAACAGTGTGCCCTTGTTGCCAAGAAGGCCAATGCCATTTTGGGATATATTAGTAGGGGCATAGCCAGCAGATTGAGGGACGTGATCGTTCCCCTCTATTCGACATTGGTGAGGCCTCATCTGGAGTACTGTGTCCAGTTTTGGGCCCCACACTACAAGAAGGATGTGGAAAAATTGGAGAGAGTCCAGCGAAGGGCAACAAAAATGATTAGGGGTCTGGAACACATGACTTATGTGGAGAGGCTGAGGGAACTGGGATTGTTTAGTCTGCAGAAGAGAAGAATGAGGGGGGATTTGATAGCTGCTTTCAACTACCTGAGAGGTGGTTCCAAAGAGGATGGTTCTAGACTATTCTCAGTGGTAGAAGAGGACAGGACAAGGAGTAATGGTCTCAAGTTGCAGTGGGGGAGATTTAGGTTGGATATTAGGAAAAACTTTTTCACTAGGAGGGTGGCGAAACACTGGAATGCGTTACCTAGGGAGGTGGTAGAATCTCCTTCCTTAGAAGTTTTTAAGGTCATGCTTGACAAAGCCCTGGCTGGAATGATTTAATTGGGGATTGGTCCTGCTTTGAGCAGGGGATTGGACTAGATGACCTCCTGAGGTCCCTTCCAACCCTGATATTCTATGATTCTAAGTACCAAACCCACCAATGAGATTCATGGAGAGTGTCGGACTGCAACAGTACAGGTAGGCCACACCCCATCAATGGCAAGGAGAAAGTGGAGCCTTTTGCTCATTAAGAACTTTATACAACACCTACTGACAACAATGAAGACATTCCCATTGACTTCAGGGGGAGCAGGATCCAGCCCTCAAACTGCGTTATACACATAACTTTCCAAATAAAACCATGGACAGTGCATTACCTCCCAGAAATCAGTGTCAGGAAAGGTCTTTTGTCCTTAGCAGATGCTGGTGTGGTTTTGACTCCATTATCAATGATCATGCCAGCCTGAGGAGGAAAAGAAACTTTGTGATGTATTTATGCACTTTAAAATTATGACGTAGTTTAAAGTTTCTGAGCCAAATTTTCAGCTGTTGTAAAACACCAGGTTTTTTTTTTTTTGAAGTCAAAGGCATTATCCTGATTTACACCAGCTGAGGATCTAGCCTTCTACATTTAAAACACTACCTAGACCAACACCAGTGAAAGATGGTGCAGCATTTAAAGTACATGGCAAAGATTTCTGAGATGGATCAGAATTTTTGTTAAACTTGTCCTGATCATTTAAGCAAAACGTCACTCTCTTCAAAGTCACTAGCTCTCTCTGACTTGGGTACCAATCCAGGTGCCTTATGCTTTTGGAGAATCTTTAGCTAACAACATGGCTCTCCAGAAAAATATTTGTATTTCTTTAGAGTTGTTACCACTCCAGTTGAAGATGAATTGAAATACCAGCCCCTTGCTAAGTAAAAATCCATTCCCATTGATACTCAAGAAACCTGGCTGCGAAATCCTGCCCAGAAGTGCTGCTCCTAGAAGACGTGCATCTGAAAATTGTGTCATAGTATCAGCCACTCGTTGTGTCCTATAATGCATCATTTCAGCATGGACCACTTTCAAGGTTACTGGTTCTGCAAGTGGCATGAGAAACAGGAGGACTGTCCACTCTACCACCTTCTGTCTGCAGCCCCTTAAAAAGCCCCTTGTGTTTTCCAGCACCTGTTCAGCTCATCTAACTAGCCAATTACATACATGCTGCAATCTAAAGACATTCAGTAATAGATGAAGGCTCAGGAGCTCAGTGTACAGTTTCCCAGGGTAGTATGTTTGGGCTGAATAAGTAAACAGATTTAGGAAGTGATTAGACTGATCTTATATTATTTTATGTACCAGATGCTATTTGATCAATGGCTAACACAGGCAGCAGTGATCTATAATCAGGCAAGCTGCCAAAAGATGCGGCTAAGGGCACCATTTTAGAAGAGCGAAAACAGACAGATGACCTGGTAGAAAGGAGTGAAAGTAAGATCCTCTTATCTCCCAACGTCCCATGAGAAATTTTAGCTTTTAGCTCAAGAATAGTAAAGTGAATCCAATGTAAACAGAATCTGTAATTCTATTATCCCAGCAAACAAGCCACTTTGTTTGTAGATACAAATGCTGAAAATTAGTTTGCAATTGCTTATAGTGAATCAGAAATCACAGCACTTAATAGCTTGCAGACTCAGAAAGCTGGAGAGATCAAGTGGTGTTTTTAGACAGGAAGATAGTTTTCATTGCGTGCAGACTCACTCGGTAGTTGGAATGTGCCCGATTGTTGTAGAATTTTCCCATTGGAATGTGCTCAGTGTAGCCTGGAGAATACATTCCTTCTGAGGGGCCTGTAGGCACATGGTGAAAAACAAACCAAAACCCTGTTTCCTGCAAAAGGGAATACACAGCGTGAGCCTTCACTTGAACTTTACAGGTCTACATTAGTACGGGGGCTTACCACGAAATAATGCAAGGTGAAAGCCAGCAGATTTCAGGACACATAACAGTAGCTGGTATTGCCCTGTATCTATATACAAAAGACCCCCCCCCCACACACACACACATATATGAAAGCAGTTAGGGCCAGCATTTTCAGGGCACCTCAAGTTAGCCTCCAACATCCATACTGAGGCACCTAAATGTAAACTGGCCTGACTTTCAGATGTGCTGAGCACCCACAAACCCTACTTATATCATTGAGAGCTTCAGGTGCTCAGCACCTTTGAAAAATCAGGCCACTGATTTAGGTGTCCAAAATTGAGATAGATGCCTACATTGAAGCCTGGAGATTTGGAAACTTTGGGCCAAATACTTTAGTTTGTTTATTTTGTAATTGAAAAAAATAAAAGACAATTGAGCTGAGTTAGAATTTCTGTAGATTTGCCATTAGGATGGATTTAAATGTCACAGCCCTACATACCATTCATGTACTGGGCTTAGGACTGTGCCTGTCCCCAATAGGAGCTTTGCCATTGACCTAATGGAATAGGCGGGTTCGGTCTTTAATTTATACTGGCTCTGGTTTGGGAATTTTGTTAAAAGTAATCCAGATCTGCAAGCCTGAACTACAGCAAATGACCAGAAGTGGGGAAGTGAAGGCGAGGGAGATTGCATTTGAAACACTAGCTGCATCAATGGCCTGAGCAGTGGAAACAGCGAGAACCAAAAGTTGCAGGGCTACTACAGTTGCCCTGAATTTTCCCAAAGAAGAAACCTTTATACTCACTTCGGATCCTGCAGCTGCACAGTTTATAAGGTTGTTATGTGGATTGGCCATCCAGAAGGTGGACACAGCACTGCAGATGGGGAACAAAGATGACCATGAAAATGACACCTGAAGCGCACACAAAGGAGTTAGCATTCCAGTGCATACAGTACAGGCAGGTCAGATCACAGAGCAGATAAGCTCCTGCCCTACGGGGTGTAGCAACTGGGGTTTCTTTTTGTCTCATCATATCACAGCTGTTACCATCATCTGCAGATGCAGCAAAATGGTCTTATCTTTAAAGACCTCAGGAATTAAATGAAGAATTTCTACTGAAATCCCAAACCTGGTGTGAAGCTGTTAGCTGTCAATTATATTTCATGATAAGGTGAATGTGTCATAGACAAGAAAAGCCCTACAATGGGGCTCCAGGTTCCCTGGAGACTGGTTTAGCCAGGGATTTGACAAAGTGTTTCTATGGGCTTTTCATAGCAACCCCCTAGCATCTGCTCTTTCCACATGCTACTGTGCTTCACTACCATCCCCCACTGGCTTCTCAATCCATGGCCAGATTCTCATATCCATCCTTAGGCTGAATATTCCCACTGAAATCAATAGGACTATTCACAGAGTAAGGTACAAGGAAACATGGGTAAAAGTGGACAGAATCTGGCCCTATAATTTTATTTTAAAAATCCAGTAAGAAGCTGGAAGGAAAAAAAAAGAAAAAAAAAAAAGAGTTAGCCCTCTGATGTCACAAGGCCTACAACTTGCTGTTAGCTAGTCGTAGTTACCAGTGAAACTCTAGCTCCAGACTGTGTGCATTGATTGTGGGGGGTTCATGTTTCTCCTATACTTCACCTAAGTCTGTCTTTACAGAGTAATGAGATAAACTGCAAAAAGAACTCTTGCTAAATCCTTTTCATTTCAACCACTACCGAGATCCATCCCATAAATCTGCCCCTGTTGAGGTTTTGTGGATCTGAAAAGACATATTAGAGGATTGGATCTTGCAAGATGGGAGATGAGGTTGCTTAGCACCTTCTAATTGGCACTCAGCGGTTTGCCAGGCTGGGCTTAGAGTTTGCCTCAAATAGAAACGGGCTTTAAGAACTTTCATGCACTCACTTATGTACGGATTAGTAGTCGGGACTCTATGCTTAGGCAATCTTTGATATTCCATAGTCACGTTCAAAGGTCTTGCTGAACTACATTGAATTCAACTCTTTGGTTTGAGTTTACTCCCTGTACAGTATATGCCAAGTGGATGCAAAATACAACTGTTGGGACAGATTCTGCCACCCTTCCTCACGTTGAGTAGTACCCTTACTCCACAAGGAATTCTGTTGTAATCAATGGGAGTAGTTGCAGAATAAAGTACAACTCAATATGAATAAAGATGGCAGAGTCTGTCCCATTCTGAATTTAATAGCATTTTATACGCACATATTGGTGGTATAAATGAGATGCAAGGCAATGCAGTGTCAGGGCCATTTGTCTTCATATTGCACTTTGAAAGGGATGCATGCAATAATATCTGTGATAACAAGCACTTTAGTTGACCTTACACTAAAAATACTAAGCAAAATTATACCCTGCATGTGTAAATGTATAAATAGCATGGAAACATCCTGCAGAGACAGCCACCCTATCTTTTTGAGCACATGGCCCATATTCCTGAAAGCAGCGTACTTAACTATATACACCCAATCCTGTGTTTCATGGATAAAAAAAAAAAGTCAAATCCTACAAGGCAAGGGAAAAAAAAAACAAACAAAAAACAAAAAAGATTTCCCACTTACTTGCAATCCTGCCTGGGTTTGGGGATGTACCCTGGGTATGCCCCTTCTGTAATCATCTTGCACATTTTACTGTCTCGGTCAGATGGCAGGAGAGTGCTAGGTTTAACGAGCAGTCCAAGGCAGTGATCAAATGTGTTGCGTTCCTCTGGCCCATCCTCAGTAAAGAAGCAGTGTCCCAGGGTGTTGTAGCCCACAACATCCTTAATCTGCATGTACAAAAATGGAGCTGCATTCAGTTTTAGTTTTCTAGCCACTTAGAGATAATAATAATAATGCTATTAATTATTATTATTTTACTGTGGAGACTCAGTCAGAGGCCCTATTGTATCAGGAGCTGTACAAACACATTCAGCATAAAGACGGTCCTTGCCCCAATGAATTTACATACTAAGTGACAGTGTAAGCTTTTAAGATTTAATTAGAATTTGCCATTTCATATGAAATGCTAATCACACTCTGCTGTAATCTGCATGTTGAGCAAGTGATAATATCATAATAAAAGACAAAAGACGAAGAGACAGGAATGGGGGGGACGGGGACATCAGATGTTTAAGCCACATCTGGGCTTATTCATCTTTGTGCAGTTACACAAACAGCAAAGTTGATGGACTAAAATGTATCCCCTGAAGTGAAAAAAAAATATTTTTCTAGGCTATCAGAGATGCTGCTAGTTGTTTACTGGACAGGCTGGATTGTTTTAAGTCTGACCTGACCCTTTTTCCAACTGATGACAAGAGCTTTACTTGAAATTGAAACAAGCCAGCTGGTGTTAATCAGTGTAGCTCCATTGAAAACCCTGCAGTTCACATGTAGTTCACATTGCAGCCTTATTGTCTCTCACAAAGCTATTCTGATTTACCCCAGTTGAAGATCTGAGGTAAAATTTTCAGAAGCAAGTAAATGACTTAGGAGCCTAAAACCAGGGCAGGGTGGGAAACAACATTTCCGTTTCATGGAAAATGTTGAGGTTTCAGAAATGGTTTTTGTTCTGATGTGGAACAAACTTGAGACCTTTCAAAGTTCTTTGTGAACAGTGCAAGAGAGATGTCTAGAACACTCAACAACCAGGTGATTAGAAAACTCCCGTGGGATGTGGCAGACCCAAGGTCAAATCCCTGCTCTCAATCTCCGGCCCAATGAATACTCATTTGTCTACATAAAGTGGAGCAGCTCAAACAGAAGACACTGAAATGAATTCTGGAGAGTGGAATGGGAGACCCAGGCTCAAGTATCTGTTCTGCCAGATTTAGAGCAGGTATTCGAACATAGTTCTCCCACATGTCAGGTGAGTACCTTAACCCCTGGGCTACTGATTATTCTGGGGTTGCCATCTCTAGCCAGATATTCCACCCTGGATGTGAGAAACCTTCCTGATGAGATTTGTGTGGAAACCAAGACATTTCAACTAAAAAGTTCGGTTTAGACAAAACAGTTTTTCCAGTAGGAAGAAGTTTTGTTAAAAACTTTGCAATCAGCTCTACCTAAGACCCATTTTCAGAACTGATTTAGGCTCTTGGAAGTCCAAGTTCCATTGGCTTGGAATGAGACTTGGGCTCCTAAATACCTATGTCACTTTTGATAATGGATGTAGGCACTTTTGAAGTGTTCTCTGATCTTTATCTCAGAGGTTACAGCCAAGGGGAATCAATTTCCAGGGCTGAACTTGAAATGGTTAAATATATACACTCAGACAGAATACTGCCAGATCTATTTCACACTGCCATCTGCAAACACATGTATTATGTATAGACCATGGTCCAGTGTAAATATTCAAGCCTCTGAACACAAATCATCACAGTAAATTAAACTGTTAAAATGACATGCAGTGCAATACATTCTATTAAATTACTTCTCCAAAATTTGCTGCTAACTCTCTCGATTCAATTAGATAGCCATGCAAGTCTGACACCATCAGTATTTCAGTGTAAAATGAGTGTGCTGCGCTATTTTAATAATCCCATCTTGAAAAGCATGAAATTTGCAAGCCTTGCAATTAGAAACACCTATTGGATACTTGAACATCTCTTGAAGATGGTTCATTTTCCTGAAGAGCATCACCACACCTTTACCTCAGCAAGGCCTTTAGTCACAGGGATGCCAAAACTGCAACTGACCAGCTGTGTAAATCTATTCTTTTCCCTGAGCACACTGGCAGTTCTTTAGAGATACATATATGTTGTTTCTGGACCGGTTAGCTGCTGAAAGCTGACAAGTGACATCTCAGACAATTCCTCAGCTACCTGCTGCACCAATTCATTAGCCAGTGAACTCTGGAACTAGATCTGTATTGGTGTAATACATCAGGACTGAAAAGCGAAAAATTGAGGTATTACTTAGAAAATGGCTAGGGAACAAATCTCTGTATAGATTCAGTACCATTGTAGAAAACATCTGCCAGTAATGTAAGAGGGAAGCCAATATATTGGCACAGGTTGGAATGCTGTACTGTATCATCTCCTTTGGCAGATATCCTAATGTAGGATTGTGGCTCTGGGGCCAGATCCTCAGCTGGTGTAAGTCAGAATAGCTCCACTGAAGTCAAAAAGTAGCTACACTGATTTACACCAGCTGATTTACTTTCCACCCTTTACTTGATTAATTATCTTTCCTATTTCTGGCCCCTGGGATTACTCAGACTGGAAACGGACAAATGTGGAACTGTTTCGTTTTCAGATTCTCATGCACTATCACAGTGCTGAAAAGTTTGGGAACTGCTGGACAGGGTTTATTTGTTAAAAAATGCATTGGGGGAAAAATTAAATTTCACAGAAACATTACAATTAGTCTATACGCTTATTTTAACTGTAATATGTGGCTAGATTTGACAGTGCCCTTTTAAATAAAGCAATTGCCCTGTAGCACAGTTGGATTACTGAGAGCAGATATCACTATAGCAGTTAGAGAACACTGCTGCTTATCCCCAGCAGCACAGCTCTTTCAAGTTCTGGCAGACAGTTTAATCAGCCTTCATTTAATGTCCATCTTTGATAACAACTTCCATTTCAGCCTACACATTATGGGCCAGTTCAGGGGCTCTGACCAGGGTGTAAGTAGCAGCAGAATTTGATCAATGGGGTTGCAGTGGTATAATGGAGAGGGAAAGTTGGCCAGTGTATTGCAGCAATCATGGACATTTTCAATTACATAATTACGGCAACAAGGCCATTTCAAGCAGTTTGGTTTGAGAAGGGCCATCTATGCCCTTAAAGTGAACATATGCTTGTGGACAAGCATAGAACATGTTTGGTTCAAGCCAACCATAGCTATTTATTTATTGTCCAGAGACAGGATTTCAGCATCAGTGTGTAAATGCACAGGACGACAACTCTGCCACCAGGAGCAAACAGTGACATCTGTTTATTTTTTACCTCTAATATTTTATAGCGTTGACATTTCTGAGCCTGCTGCCAAGAGTGCTAAAAGCAAAATAATTTGTGACACTAGTAACCTGAGAGCCCAGTGAGGAGCCTGTATGAGAACCTCTAAGCTGCTTTAACAATTACTTAACTGTTACAAAATACCCAAGTGCCTCCCCCCTCATTCACCAAAGCATTAAGCAAGCCCTTAGCTATAGGCCTGTGAGTTGTCCCATTGAAACCAATGGAAATACTGGAAGTCAGTGGGACCACTCACATACCTAAAGATAAGCATCTGATCAAGTGCTTTGCTGGTTTGAGGCCTAATATTCCAGCAAATTTTGTGTGTGTGTGTGTGTGTCTCTACTAAGAGGCTAGTTCACTCAAAGATCACCAAGGCAACTGGTCTTCTGGCAGGTTATTCCTTGGATCTATCTGCTCACAGAGGCATTGAATGATATGTGAGGAGAACTTAGCTAACTTAAATAAATGGTGCCCAGATACTACAGTGAAGACCATCTTAGAAGTACATGTAATAACAACAGTACTTTCCTCATTGAAGATTTGGCTTGTTTTTGTGACTTCACGTAGTATCTCATGGGGGAAAGGAAACTAGATTTCATAGCAGAAGAGCGTGCTGCAGGATCAGCTAAGGAGGAATTGCTCGGGGTATACGTCCAATTATAGGTAATAAGATTGAATGCATTTTTAATTGAAATGAACTACATCTGTGTAGTTTATCAAACTTTTAGAAATCCTCTTTTTGATGCAGTGGGCCAAACAGCTAGACTGCACAGCATGGAATTTATTTCACTGGGCATTTCATTTCAACAAAGGGCAACAAACATGCAGCTGAAATCAAATGTGCAAAATCAATTTTTTGGTGGTAATGAGTGTAGATTAGTAAATTATACATTTTTAAAAGTAAAACAATAAACGGATTAAATTATCAATGTAGTTTTTTTTATTATTATTATAGTTGCATTTCTCTTTTAGTGGAGGTTTCTTTTAAATAACTTGCCATGGAACAAATTCCAAGGCCCCTCAAAGAATTGCAGTTGTTGAGTTACACCACCAGAATTAAGCAGTTTTCTTCAATCATATCAGCCTGTCTGCATTTCATCATTGCTGTCTTGGCTGGAAAAGCCTGAGAACAGGGATCCTTACAGTATTTTCTAGTCACAATGACATGGTTTTCATTTGGAAAAGGCACAAGGGACTGAAAATTTCCAAATACCCAGTATAAATCCACCCAGCTGACCCGTGAAATACCACTTTCTGGGTATTTGGTTTGGCAGTAAGAGCGAGCATCAATAAATCAAGACACAGGGTTTAAAATTAGAATCAGAGCTGAGGTTTTAGTCAGCCCTCCGCTAATCAACAGCTGTGCAACCGCCTCATAGCTAGAGGATGTGTTTAGGGTGCCATTATTAGGAACCTTCTCATTACTTGACAAAAAGACTCCTGGCAATTCTCTTCTTCCAGGCTGTTTTTTACTTACATTCTTAGCTACACTGAGCTGCTACATGGATGGCTTTAAATTGGAAAGCAGTCATACATCTCCGGATGCCTAATACAATTTAGATAAGGTAAAGAAGAACAGATTTTTCAGAAACCAAGTTGACAGCAGATTTTAGGATCCCTTTGAATACAAAATAAGGGATGAAAAATGTTGAGCTTGAACACTGCAAGCTCTTACAATGGTTCAATGAAAAGTTAGTGCAGGTGTTTTTAAAATACCAGTGATATACTGGGAGAATTCCTAGTGCTCAATTACCATCATTTGACACAGCCAGTGGCGTGGCATGCTGGTGGTCTCATATTAAAACACTGATCTCTTATGCACAGGGTTGAGATCTTGGCTGGTTAGAGACCTGTTAAAAACACTTTTGTATGTTGGCTCCAATGCTTTTTTTCACATGTGGTGCCAACACAGGAAAAATGTGGGATTTCCGAGGAGCTAACAGGCATGTTGAGGCCACTGTTTTGGATTGATGCTTGGGAAAAGTTGAGAAGTCAGTCCTGATGTTTGTTACATGCTTTTAAAAGCTTTGCTTTCAAAACACATTTCTGAACCTTTTCTGAACGTGGGCCAAGGTTTCTCTTTCTCACATTCACAAAAGGAATGTATATGGTGGTTACTTATATGGTTTCAGTACTAACGTCCAAATTGGATATCTAGGCCCAAGGCCAAAAAGTACACAAGCACTTGGGTGGAGTGGACATGGGGTCCTAGCTCTAATTTCTAACATGCGCGGCTTGCAAAATATTCTTAAAAACAACAGAATGTTAAAGTTGATGAACACACTAAAGGAAAATGTGATCAACAGAACCTGTGTCTATTTGAGAAGGCACTAAGATGACTAACATGACATAGCCATCGGAGCTAGCATAACAATGATACAGAATGTGTGCATTTGCTGATCAAAGCCTTTCTGAATTAAACTCAGCTCCAGTCCACGTACTGTTCATGCCCCCAGGAAAGCAAAACCGAGGGAGTCTTATGAAAATGTGAGAAGTTTTTCATTGTGTTCTTTATTCTGAAGTAGAGTGAGTGCCCAGGGGTGCAGGGAGTTTACTGCTGTCACTATGTGCTCTCCTGTATTGTAATTTACCTGATAAATAGCTGTTGTACTATAGGAAACCTACAGGATTACCTTAGTGTTCTGACAAACAGTTCAGTTAAATCAGAGGTCTCTGACTGCTTGTGTTGTGAATGGGAATTTCAAACAAAAATTCTTATTAGCAAACTGAAGTAACCTTAGCTCTGGTGATTACCTTCTTTAGCAGTAAACTATTTGTTTACAGATAGATTCAACAACCCATTATAGATGGGATTGTCTGCAGGAATCTCTGAATACAATGGCATTGTGAAAGCCCTGTCAGCTCCGAGTCCCGTATAAAATTTGGCCCCTGGTTTTACATTCTTATGTTGGATTTGTGTTTTAGACACATGTTGAAATATATTCATATTAATATCACTCAATAAATCTGGGGCAAAAGAGAAGAGCATTTGGTCTAACTCTATAATTCTATCAGTAATCAGACTTGTTTCAGGGGCCTCAGAATCATTTTCATGATATTAGGGACAGCAAATGGGCTGGATCAAAAGACATCTTGATCAGGAAGGCAGTCATCAAACCGCTGTTTCTTACCAGCAAGCCATTGGAGCCGTGGACTGTGACACAGCGCGAGAAGGTGTGGTGAATGGAGACGCCCTTCACATAGGATGGAGGGTGGTAGCCTCCCTTCTCATCCACATCCCCAGCCAAGTGGAAGTGAATTGGATAGTGTCCCATTCTCTGCTGGCCCATGTGTTTCAATTCTAAACCTTCAATATGGGCAGCTTTAAAACCAAGACCAATCTGCAGAACAAATAAAACACTAGTCAAGTGGCCATAGGAGCATCTGGTGGCTTGTTTCATATTATTCACTGTGGCATGCAGTGTTGTTGTAGCTGAGTCTGTCCCAGGATACTAGAGAGACAAGGGGGTGGTGGTGAGGTAATATCATTTATTGGACCAACTTCTGTTGGCGAGAGAGACAAGCTTTCGAGCTTACACAGACCTCTTCTTCAAGCACTGTGTAAGCTCGAAAGCTTGCCACTCTCCCCATCGGAAGTTGGTCCAATAAAATATATTACCTCACCCCTCTGGTCTCTCTGTTTTATATTAGTCAGGCAGAGCAAGTCTTAGACTATGATGGTTGACAGAGGGGGTAAACCATTGCACAGCAGATGCTTCCTAGTTTGCAAACTCAGGCAAAGCTGTTTGCATTTAATGCTTTTCATAAAGCAATTGTGCTAGATTTAATCCTGTGGGAAGATGGGCTTGAACTGAAGCCCCAGATCTGAGCACTACCAAACCCTAAGGAAGCTGGATTTTGGATCTAAACTCTGCAGCCTGTGAGTGCTGAGCCCCAGCCAGTCTAGCAAGGTAATGTTTGAATGGGTGTGGGGGAGCCCTGCGAAGAAAAGAGAAGCAGGAGGTGAATCCATGGTCTACTCTAGGAGGGGCTTGTTTATGTTGCAGGCCTCGACTCACCGGATGTGCCCTGCCATGTCATGGCCCCCTTACTAGGTGAATGTTGTTTGGCTCTGTGTAGAAGGGTATCAGTAAAGGACTTATACAATACCTTGATGTGTCCGCCAAAGGTGTCAAAATCAAAGAAGGTGCATAAACCATTGCTATAGTCATAGCATTGCCTCTCCATCTCTCCCATCACCACTATGTTTTGGCTTAGCAGCCCTACTTCTGCCCTCATGTCCACTCCGTCGATCACTTCTCCTGTGTGAAGGTAGGCTGCTCTCCCTAAGGGAACAAGATACATTTCCATGTTTATTCTGTAAACACCGCATATACCAGCTGACTAACTGCTGGTGGGGGCTGGGGCAGTAACGAACTAAGCACCTGAGTCCACAAAAGCTGTCGGCAGGCACCTCAAGGCTGGGGAAGCCCAGAGCACAAGAGTCACAAAGGCCAGTGGAGATATCCTCTACAGAGGATGTAGGGTTTGTGGGGTTTGTTTGCGTCACTTCAGTAGGCCTTAAAGTAACAGCTGCTGTTAACTGTGTCCCAATCTCGCCACCTTCAAGAGAGACTCTACAGTAACCTAAAAAGAAAAATTTTTACACTGCCTGGACCACAGCAAGGTTTGTATGTAGCCTGATGCATCGGGAAAAGTTTAGCTGCAAGCGACAAGGTATCAATTGAATGCTGGGAATCCTTCCACTGTATCAGCACAGAATTAGTTTTTCATAGCTGTATCTATAATTATGGGACATGGGAAAGACTCGGGGTGTATGACATGGCTCCTGGGCCACGGCTGGCCAAATTCCACAGAAACCAGTAGGTGCTTTACGCTACCTTCATCAGGAGCAGACTGGGCCACTCTGTGCAGAAATCCTGAATAAACCGCAGCGTGTGAGCATCCCAGCTGCTAATCCAACGGATGGGCTAGAAGAACCCACATGTGGTTTCCAAGCCACTTGACCAATGTAAATGCTGATCTACTGGCCCTTCCCTCAGCCCACACTCAATGCTTCCTTCTGTGCCAGCTTCGTCCGAACTGGTGGGGAGCTCTGCACACAGAAGTGTGGTGGCCCCCCTGCCAGGCCATGCTGCACCTAACTACCTTGAGGGTTCAAAAAATTAAAGAAAGACTTGCGTGGGCTGGCCAGAAGGGGCTGAATTCCAGCCACCATGAACAACAAGAAAGCAAAATAATCTCAGCACTGTAATTTCATTAAAACATATGCATGATGCACTCCTTCTTCCTGGCTCAGCTCGCTTGAAGAAAAAGCGGGAAAGGCTTATTTGACTGACTACATTTCACATTATTCCAGTAAAAATAGGGAATAAACTCGTTCAGTAAACACTGTGCTATAAAGAATGTTACACTGGCATATATTTCATTTCAGCAGAGACCTACACAGCAGTTAGTAGAAACAAAGGGCAGGCTTGATGCTGAGAGATCTCTGAGAGGCACTTTCTGTTTGAGCAGAACCATCATGCAGGAAGAGGAGTTTTAAAAAATATTGACATGGCCTCTTTTTAAATGAAACAGGATGTTCTCACTCAATAGTAAAGATAAATAGACACCAGTTTGATACAGGTTATCCTCCTTTGGCCTTCCAGTGGGAGGTTAACATGGTTTAGGGGATAAGGCACTGTGCTGGGAGCAAGGAGAGTTACATTCTTTTCTGGCTCGGACACTGGCTAAATTACTTGCATTTCTCTCTGCCCCAGTTTCCCCATCTGTAAAGCACCTTGAAGTCCTTGGATGAAAAGTGCTAAGCTATTACACAGAAGCATTAGAATGACAGACACAGGACAGGCTTCCTGATTATCAGAAGAAGGGCATCTTTTACCCACTATGTCTAGTAACTTTATTAATCTTCTAATGAAGAATGGGACCAACTACACACTGTTCAGAGGAAAAAGGAAGTGTAGACGAACACTGAGAGGGACTAATTCTTTGATGGGATGTTAGCCAAGAAAGAAAGGAACCACCTTCACCCTTCAGTTATTACCTCCTTCAAATCTGCATCATAGTGGTAGGCCTACATGTGGAACAGATTAGCCCATTTGTAGTGCTCCTTGAGTCAGCTGGAAGGGTTGCTCAATAATAAACTAAGGTAATTCCTCCACCCTTGTGATGAATGTGCTGCTTCTACAGTGTTCCTAGACTATATAGACCAGGATTAAGGGCCCAAGCTTGGACCCTAGCCTCAGTTCTCTTTTGTTGTCACAAGGCCATGGGCTGAGTGTTTTCTTGCATATGATCAGTCTGGGACCCACTAGCCTCACAAGATCACTCAGCTGGAGCAGGAACACCCTAACTGAAAAGGGGTGTTACTGCCCTTGTTTGTGCACATCAGTCAATGCACAGAACTGTCACTGTCCCCTGCACAAGGAGACTATATGGTGGATGGTTGAGACCCTGCAAATCCATAGATCCCCTTGATTTCTTGAATTCTATTTTCAGTTATCTCCCATAATTGGCCTCTCCCTTACTCACTGAAACAAAGAAGTTCAGATAATCATAAGAACATCTGATTTTGAACAGCAGCTCTTGGATTTGCAGCACTGCAATTAAAACAGACAGTTTTATTATTCTAGAGCTCAACGCTCTCTCAAATAATAAACGGCATGATTGCATGTATTTAATACCAGCACAGACATGCACAAAATTTAAGCACTGACAAGAATGTTAAATATTCACTAACCAGCTTCTAAATAGAACTTTGTTGGGTGTATGCTTTTGCTCACTTGGCTTGATGTGAGATAAGAAAATTTCCTTGAGTCTCTCTTTTTAAAATGTAAGTGTATTTCACATAATAGTTCTAAAATGGTGCCTTTAATGGGCTGTTGAAAAACAACAACAAACCACTTCTTGTAACAGCAGCCAGAACTTCAAACTCCTCTTTAACAATGTAATAGTAGGGCTATACTGCAGGAAAGGTAGGCCTGCTTCATGGAGGAGACTACTGCTCCAAAGTCCTCATGTACTGTAAATTCCATGTGGAAAACAAAGCTAGGCACAGAGTAATTGGGGGGGAGGGATAGCTCAGTGGTTTGAGCATTGGCCTGCTAAACCCAGGGTTGTGAGTTCAATCCTTGAGGGGGCCATATAGGGATCTGGGGCAAAAATTGGAGATTGGTCCTGCTTTAAGCAGGGGCTTGGACTAGATGACCGCCTGAGGTCCCTTCCAACCCTGATATTCTATGATAATGGGGGCTTTACTGCTGGTTCCCATTAAATGCTTGGTATGCAAGCAGCTCATGGGGCACATTCAGAGACAGCTGTGAAAGAAATCTGCTCGAGAGTTCACAAGGAGACAAGAACGTCTCCCTCTATAGCACTGTAAATTGAGTTTGAAATTAAGTTGTTGCTTATAGCCGGCCTGCTGAGAGTTGCTAGCTAGAGGTAGGCAGATGGTGGACAAGTGACATGTGTGACACCTGCCATAGGAAAGCCCAGTGTCAGTGACTTGCAAACCAGTTCCACTGTCGTTTGGTAAGAAGAGAGAGAACTTTGCTGCTTTGAATATTATAGCATAGTCTTTATTGTTTGAACACCAGGGCTGTTTTTGTGATTGTCCAAAAATTAGCAAAGCCAGATGCAAAGCAGTTTACAATCAGTTTTCATGGGCTCCGTATTGCTGGCATCACTTACAGAGGGATGTCAAGTATCAGCTAGATGGCTGTCACCAATAGCACTCAGCAGCTGAGCCGTATTATTTTCATAACCAGAGCGATGTGGTCAGTCACATTGCATCTCTATGTAATAGGCCAGTGTGGCAGAATAAAAAACTCGCTTGATTTATCATGTGCCATCATGCTAGAGAATTAAACTAACAAAATACAAATACACACAGAAATAAATCACTTTAGTCTGTGTGTCTATCTAACTGAGGCCCTCCCCGGTTTGGCAGAGCAGCTGCTTAAGTCCATCCCTACTCAGCAAAGCAATTAATCACAAACTTAAAATTAAATGTGTGCTTAAATTCCATTAAAGGATTTAAGCACATTCTTAAAGGCAAACATGTGCTTTGGTGAACAGGCATGGCTTGCTGCATCAGGGCCAGACAGAAGCCAAAGTAGAACTGCAAATCAGAACCACTCTAAATTCTATGGAGGTTCATATTCAGAGCTTCGTATCAGAACATAACCCTCAAGCTTTGATTCTGGGTTCGAATCAAAACCAGAAGGAACCTGGGGATCAGATTTTTTTAATGTATTTTTAGGCACCTAGTGGGATTTTCAAAAGTACCTTGGCACCTAACTCCCAATGGGATCTTTAGGGGCCTAGATATTATTGACAATCTGGCCCTAAGTCATTTTTGAAAACGGCATTTTTGGCTCCTAAATCACGTAGGTGCTTTTGAAAATTGTACCCCTAATCTGATAGAAACACCACAGCCTCAGACAGACAGTGTCTGATCTGTCTGCCTGTTTTTTCCATTTGGGTCTCTCCATCAACCTCTCTATCGGTAAAATCCATACTTCACTGATGTACATATTGCCATTTTTGGCTATTTAAATTAACCAATATTCAAATTAAATTCATTTTCATAGATTTTGTTTTTTGGGGGGGGGGATTAAAGTCTCCCTGGTTTTCAGTTTTTTGGGGAAAACCCCCCACCACTGGCACCATGGAATATTTAAATTCTCCATTTTTCTAGCATTCAAAGCACCTACAACCACAACATTCGCTACAGTCTGTTCTAATGTGGCTGAAAGCCTTTCCCCACTTATCACGTTTTATAATCATCCAGATGTGAAAGGATTGTCATTTCTTTCAGAACAATATTAAAAATCGACTTCCTCTAGATCTGCATTCTACGCCCTCCCAGAGATTTTATTTCTCAAGGCTGCTCCTGGCCGTTTCTTCTCTCAGACGAAATATGTGTTTTTTTTTTAAACGTCTAATCTTGCACATATCCTGGGCCTGATCCAAAGCCAGACTGAAGTCAGCGGAACAGCTCCCATTGATTGCTACGTCATTTAAGCTGTGCCTACACTTGGAGCAAGGGGTGCAGTTCCCAGCTCAAGCAGACATGCGCTCACCCAGCTAGGGTGCTACAAATAGTAACAGAGCTGTGTTAGCACAGGCAGTGGGGAGCAGTAGCACCCGTTAGCCGCCCCATTACGCGCCCAGGGGGTTCAGGCAGACTTGTACTCGGGGCAGCTAGCCTGGGCCGCTGCTTGCCGTGCCGTGGCTACACTACTATTTTTAGTTTGCTGGCTCAGTAGGAGCCAGTGTGAGTATGTCTACCTGAGCTGGGAAATCACACCCCTAGCTCCAA